GGGAAAGAGCCCAGAACGGGAGGGCAGGGGAGCAGGGGAGATTCGTACGTCTCAGTCCTCAAGGCCCTGCTTGCCTGAAAGTGTGACTGCTCTAAAGTCGACCTAGCACTAACTAACACTAATTACCACTTTGTGAAGCCTCAGTACAATGTGTAACAAGGCCCTAACAGAGGTTAGCTATGCTCTATCTAACTACCAAAGACATTTCACAGGGGTGGGGAAAAAGGGGTTGGCACATATGACCCCTTTAACTTCACTCACAGGGGTCATCCATGGTAAAATATTCATGGTAAAATATTCCAAGAACTCCAGCTATAACACCTTCCTTTCTCTGTCATCAAACTGTCTCTGCAGTCTCCCATTATAGTAACTTGGTCCTCCTACTGCAGTTTGCTTGCTAATGAGTACTTAATTATACAGAGACTGAAGCACTGCTTTCCTGATTTGGGCATAAGGCTGAGTCTCTGAATCAGAAGAATAATGCTTTGTAAGAGTGAAAACTAAACATAGTGTGACAATATGGGAAACTGAAGCTCTTAAAAAGGGGCTATTGAGGCAGTAGCAATTGTGATTAGAATGAGATTCAAAATGTCCCCAGTCTCTGTGCTACAGATAATTCACTGTTTGAATATACAGCACCTTAATCCACCTGAATAACCTCTGAGTAAAGATGTTCTCCCCTTGGACTTTTACCAGAGGCCACATATAGACTTTCTTAAGGCAGTTCCCCTGCCGTAGCATGAAGACTTCATAAAAAGGTAGGCCAAGGTATAGATTGTAGGTAAAAAACCTGATTCCATCTTGGTCAGAACTACAGGATGAACTGCCGCTTTATCTACATTAAACATAACCTATATAGGTTTCTGTCCCAGCTGATGGGAAGTGTAATTGGGGTAGGGTGTTAGGGTAGCTTGTTATATTTTATGCTTATAGAGTGGTGAATTATAGCATTGTTTAAACTTTTTTATTTAGCCTTATTTAATTATTGCTTAAGTTTTGTATTATCTGAACTTTTTATTTTGCTTATCAGCTGGCCTTGTTGTTTTTGTAGAGCTCATAGTTCTAGTTATATTATTGTATCTTTTCTTTTTTATCACTGTGAGAAGTTCTTCTAAAATAACATAGCAATGGCTTTGTTACCAGCTCACATTAACTGAACTTGGCACTAACGGGCTGAATCAGAGGGATGAAATGATTGGATATGTTAATGAAAGGTGATAAGGGAGACCAATGGGGAATGCTCAGAGTAAGACACCAGAAAAGACCAAATTAAGAGGTGTGCTCATGATAGGTCTGTTGAACAAAGGAATATTCTGACAGGATAAAATATGGACAGTATGCTGATAGCAAAGAGATCAAGCTAAAAGCAGAGAGTCATCATAGGAATGAAGTTAAAGAAAAGCATAAAAGGGGGCAGCAAGAAAGTTAAGTGTGTCATTGTCATAAATCCAGCCTTCAATACCTGTCTGACCATCCCAGCCAACCACACATCCTTTGCTTTCAGGAACCAATTGGCCATCTCTTCTGTTGAGCAAATTAATATCTGGGATTGGGTGAGATTATTATACTGAATGTTTTTCTCTCGTTGAATATAGAAACTGCTAAGATAATATTTGTTGTGCTAATAAAGTTAGACTTTGATTTTAGGACACTGAGTTGTCTGTGTTCGTATTTCACATTCCATTTAAGGGTTAATTGTGCATTAATGATCCCTAAACACTGTCTGGTGAGCAGTGGTGCTAATGTAAGGGATTTTTTTTTGTTCCATTTGTTCAACACTTGGCACAAAAAGGAACTGGTCCAGGACTGCAGGTCCTTGGTGCTACTTCAAAGCAAATAAGAAAAAATAATACCATCCATCACTGTACTACCTGAAACCTGGCCTCCAGCTGACAACTTGTTAACACTCACTTGCAGAAATAATACCTATTAAGAATGCCACTTTAATTGAAAAGTAATGCAAAGGATACTCCTCCACAATTTAAAGGTATTTCCATGAACCAGATTCAAATTCCACAGCACAGTTGAGAGATGTATATGCAATACCTTTGTTGCGATGCATTTTACAATAGGAAAGGAAAAAAGAAGCTTGAATAGAGTAGTAATGGCATAACTATACTTTTGTCCTGGGGAATACACTTGTAATGTCCAGGACTAACTGGGGGTTGATGTACAGCCAATATGAAGCCCTTTACACACAAAAATCCTCAGAGAGAATGTTAAGCCAGCTTTCCAATGGCTTTGCCCTGCTTTTGATACAGTCCAATGGCTTGTCTATGGCTCTCTGAATCCACTAAGGGCTTTGCACTTGTCCTTATTGAACCTCATGAGATTTTTTTTTGGTCCAATCCTCCAATTTGTCTAGGTCTCTCTGAATCCTAGCCTTACCCTCCAGCATATCTATTACTCCTTCCAGCTTGATGTCATCTACAGACTTGCTGAGGATGCACTCCATCCCATTTTCCAGGTCACTGATGAAGATATTGAACAAAACCAGCCTCAGGACTGACCCCTGGGGCACTCTGCTTGATTTAAATATTTATTTATTTATATAGTGAATGCAAATCTGTGAAGCCAAGCAATAGCCTCACTGTTAGCTGAATTCAAAGTTATTGAATTCTTAGTCCCCTCTTAGTCTGTAGAGGGAACAATATACAACATTGTTTGTGTCTCTCCACAAGTGCACAGTGGGTTAACACTGAGGTCCCAGCGGTGAAGTTTTGCTGTGCAGGGGCCTTGGTCTGTCCTAAACCTGTTGGTACCTTGACTTGTCCTAAACTCCGCTTGATACCAAATGCTCACTAGCCATCAAGCCATTGACTACTACCCTCTGAGCCCAACAATCCAGCCAGTTTTCTGTCCACCTTACAGTCCACTCATCCAACCTGTACTTCCTTAACTTGCTTGCAAGAATGTTGTGGGAGACTGCATCAAAAGCAGGGCAAAGCCATTGCAAAGCTGGGCATTAACAGCCAGGAACAGCCCTCAGCCCCAACACCCTGCTTGGATGGTCTGATTGTTAAAATGGCGAAAGTCTGCAAGCAGATGAGATGACCTTTTGGATTTTTTACGTATATTACAATCTATAGTATTACAAGATTTTTAAAATTTATATTACAATCTATAGTTTCTTTCTTTCTTTCTTTACTTAAATGCAATGAACAGATGACAGAATGTGCAAGTTTCCAACATACTGTTTATAATTTAGTAAAATATTTATAATTTGCAGGAGTAAATGTGAAATGCTAAACACAATTGCTTTCCTAATTTCCTTGTAAGCCAGCTGTCAGGAAATTCCTATTAGCAAAGAAAGCACAGACTTTTAAGAGCATCTCCTCTGGTATGTATCTGAAGGGTACTGGAGAATACATAGGATATATAGTTGTGGGTACATTTAAAAACAAGTGAATGCATGACTCATCATTACATCTTCTCTGAGCCTCAACAGCACACTGAATAATGTAAGATGCCTACAAAACTCCTTTTATTTACATTGCTTTTAGTCAATTGCATTGACATTTAACATATTGGCCCTTTGCCAGCAACACCAAACTACAGAGATTGCTATTTATTGGGCAAGTGTTTATCAGTATTTTACATTTGTTTGTTGGGAATCACAAGGAAAATGAAAAATGCTAACAGGGTGCTGTTAGTGAAGATTTCTTCACTAATTTTGGAGATGCCTGACTCTGCAAATATATATATATATAAGCGTCTGACTCATGCAGTCTCCAGAAAGTTTGTGGCTGCATTGGAGGTCTCCCTATCCAGGGAAAGGGGTAAAGCAAAGAGATCCCACTTCTTTCTGCTCCATGCCAGAGAACTGTGGAGCTGCTAGGAAGGAAGATGGGGGTGTGTAATACCATTTTCTACAACTCTGCACACATTAAACAGGGCTGCAATTTAACTCTATAGTTACAAACCCAGGAATATACTGGAAACACAATGGTCATCAACAAGTGTGCAGTTTAAGGACGGTGTGATGCCACAGGAAGATAAGTTACTGAATCAGCCTCTTC